GGGAGCACCGGGTGGGGGGCTGTGCGTGGGAGTTCCGCGGTGTGACGCCACCACGCAGCGTGCGCGCAGGCGCCGCTCCCGCCGTGGCCTCCGCAGGCGGAATTGCCGAGTTGTCGCAGAGCTGGGCTTTCTCTGCGGTCTTGTGCAAGTCCCGCCCTTGGCACTGAACGTCCAGGTGCAGATCCGTCTGCAGGCGGCGCGGTGCTGTGCGGGGGGGCTCTGTGACAGGAGCGTTCGCACCTAGATGCCGGGGTGGACCAGCCGCCTGCGTCAGGGAGGCCAGACCTCCTGGGTTTCCTGGCCTCGTGGGTCAAATCGGCACTGTTTCCATGGTGATTGTTTCTAAGTTTTCTCTTAGGTCCTGTTGACCTCTCACGTCTTTCTCGAACAGTACAGTCTTTATTGCAGTTGTCCGGGAAGCTTTGAAGTCAGATGCTGTCACTGTGTGTGCTCTTTTCCTAATCTTGTGTTGATCACTTTTTCATTCGTGATGACCTTTTGTCATCATTTTTCTGATGACAGGAAACAATTGTTGTTCCATCATGTGATGTCTCTCCTTTCATCAAGGATTTCTTTAATTACAAAGGTATAGTTTTGGCTACAGATATTTATCATGTTTCTGTGTATTTCTGGCGTGGGCAACTCGTTCATGTTGATAAGGTACAAACCGGTCTCACTTTAGTCAGGTGAGAGGATTGAGATACTGAGCACTTGTCTGTGGCTTGTGTGTAAGCAGCTAATATTTTACACAGGGCAGGGTCATATTGTCTCTTATACTTGTGGACTTGAATTCTGTGCAGGATGATGAGTGTAGATCTATTTCTACATACACACATTTGGTTTGACCAGCACCATTGTTGAAGATTCACATTTTCCAGTGTGAATTTCTAACTTCCTTATCAAACACCAGTTATGCATAGGAATGGGTTCACATCTGAGTCTTCAGTTTTATTCCATTGTTTGATGTATCTGTTTTTATGTCAGTAATTTTGGGGTTTTTATTACTATACCTCTAGTACAACATGCAATGTGGAATCTTGTGAACTCTGGCATTTCTTTTATTCTTCAGAATTACTTTAGCTATCCTGGGTGTCTGTTTTTCCATTTGAAGTTGAGCTTTGTCCTTTCAGTTAGTTTGGATAAAGTTTGTCTGTCTTGTTGAATTTCCTAAAGAACCAACTCTTTGTTTCATTGCTTCTTTGTATTGTTTTCTTTGTTTCTACTTTATTGATTTCAGCCCTCAATTTGATTATTTCCTGGCATCTACTCCTCCTGGGTGACTTTTCTTCTTTTTCTTCTAGAGCTTTCAGGTTTGCTGTTGAGTCTCTAGTGTGACTATTCTCTAGTTTCTTTATGTAGACACTTAGTGCTATGAACTTTCCTCTTAGCACTGCTTTCAAAGTGTCCTTTAAATTTGGGTGTGTTGTGCCTTCATTTTCATTGAATATTGAATTCTAGAAAGTCTTTAATTTCTTTATTTCTTCCTTGACCCAGAGATGATGCAGTTGAGCATTGTTCAGTCTCCCATGAGTTTGTAGGATTTCTGCAGTTTGTGTTGTTGAATTCTAGCTTTAAACCATAGTGATTCTATAAGATACAGGGGGTTATTCCAACTTTTTTGTATTTGTTGAAGTTAGCTTTGTTGCTGAGTATGTGGTCAGTTTAAGAGAATGTTCCATGGGGTGCTGAGAAGAAGGTATATTCTATTCTGTTTGGATGGCATGTTCTATTGATGTCTGTTAAACCCAATTGAATTATAACTTCTGTTAGTTCCTTTACTTCTGTATTAAATTTATCTGCTAGTCTTGTTCAGTGGTAAGAATGGGGTGTTGACGTCTCCCTCAAAGGTGTGTGGGGTTTTATGTGTGATTTAAGTTTTTGTTAATGTTTCCTTTACAAATGTGCGTGCCGTTGTGTAGATGTTCAGAATTGAGATTTCATCTTGATGGATTTTTCCTGAGAGGAATATGAAATGCCCTTCTTCATCTGGTTTGATTAATTTTTAGTTTGAAGTCTAATTTGTAAGATATTATGATTGCTACACCAGCTTGTTTCTTAGGTCCATTTGATTGGAAAATCTTTCCCTAGTCCTTTACTCTGAGGTAACATCTGTCTTTGAAGTCGAGGTATGTTTCTTGTATGCAGCAGAAGGATGAATTCTGTCTTCGTATCCAATCTATTAGCCTGTATCTTTTTATAGGCAAACTAAGACCATTAATATTGAGGGATATTATTGACTATTGATTGTTGATTCTTGTTTGTTTTGGATTTGGTGGTGGTCGTATTGTGTGTGGATTCCTTCCCTCAGCTTTTTTAGTTTTTGGTAAAGTGGGATCATCTATTGCCTATTATTTTGTGACTAATTTGCTTGGGTTGGAGTTTTCCTTCCAGTACTTTCTGTAGGTTTGGATTTGTGGATATGTATTGTTTCAATCTGATTTTGTCATGGAATATCAGGGTTTCTCCATCCATAGTTATTGAAAGTTTTCCTGGATATAGTAGTCTGGGCTGGCATCCGAGGTCTCTTAGAATCTGTAGAACATCTGTCCCAGACCTTCTGGCTTTCAGAGTTTCCATTGAGAAGTCAGGTGTAATTCTGATAGGTCTGCCTTTATATATTAGTTGGCCTTTTTCCTTTGCAGCTCTTAATATTCTTTCTTTATTCTATATGTTGGTGTTTTGATTATTATGTGGTGAGGGGACTTTTTTTTTTTTCGGTCCAGTCTTATGTGGTGTTTTGTAAGCTTCTTGTACTATCATAGGCATGTCATTCTTTTGTCATTCTTTAGGATGGAAAAGTTTTATTCTGTGATTTCATTGAGTATGTTTTCTACACCTTTGAGCTGGACATCTTAACCTTCTTCTATACCTGTTATTCTTAGGTTTGGTCTTTTCTCAGTGTCCCATATTTCCTGGATATTTTTTGTTAAGGTTTTGTTGGATTTGACATTTTTTTGGTCAATGAATCTATTTCCTCTAGTATATCTTCTGCACCTGAGATTCTCTCATCCATCTCTTGTATTCTGTTGGTTATCCCTGCATCTGTAGATCCTGATCATTTACCCAGACTTTCCATTTCCAGCATTCCCTCTGTGTTTTCTTTATTGTCTCTATTTCAGTTTTCAAGTCTTGAACTGTTTGAATTGTTTCCTTTCCCTGTTTGATTGTTTTCTTTCTTTCTTTTTTTTTCTTTTTTCTTTTTTTTTTTTGGCTTTGCATTTTTTGGTTTGTCTTTCCCTCCATTTCTTCCATTTTTTTTTTGTATATCTTTTCTTTCATTTCTTTAAGGGAATTTCTCATTTCCTCTTTAAGGTCCTCTATCATTTTCATTTATTTTTAAGGTAGTTTTCTTCTGCTTCATCACATTGGGATGTTCAGGTCTTGCTGGTGTAGAACGCCTAGTCTCTGGTGGTGTCATATTACTCTGTGTTGTTGATGTGTTCTTATGCTGTCCTCTACCCATATTGCTTCCTCCAGCTTGCAGGTGGGGCCTGTGATTCAGGGATATCTTATCCTCCAATTGGTGTAGTTGGGGCCTGTTGCTTAGTGGTTGATCTTCCTCTCCTAGTGAGGGTAGGGCCAAGGCTTCAATGGTGGGAGATGCAGTTTTGGGGTGTGAGGAGGGTGTCCCCAGGTCTCTGGATTTTCTCTTGAGGTAGCAGTGGGTCAAGATTCCAATGATGGCAGATGCAGTGCTGGATGGATTGGCCCCCAGATCTCTGGGGATTGTGCAGGCAGGATGGAGGAATGTACCCTGGACAAAGGCCTCCAGTGGGGGAAGTTGGGACAGGAAAAGGCCCAACACACACCTCTCCCTGTGGGGAGAAGGGCCAAGGGTCAGATAGAGGCAGATGCAGTCCTGGATGGTTTGGGGCTGTCCCCTGGTTTCTTTCCCCATGAGGGCCTCTTCATTTAATTTGATGTTGGCTGTATGGTTGTTGGAAATTGCTTCATTTTGAATAGGTATGTTCTTTATATCTCTTATCTCTGCAGAAGTTTTATCAAGAAGGGGCATTGGGGGCTGGAGAGATGGCTCAGAGGTTAAGATCACACTGCTCTTCCAGGGTCCTGAGTTCAATTCCCAGCAACCACATGGTGGCTCACAACCATCCGTTATGAGATCTGGTGCCCTCTTCTGGTGTGCAGATATACATGGAAGCAGAATGTTGTATACATAATAAATAAATAAATCATTTTTTTTTTTTAAAGAAGGGGTATTGGATTTTGTCAAAGGCTTTTCCTCCATCTAATGTGGTGATAATGTAGTTTCTTTCTTTCTTTCTTTCTTTCTTTCTTTCTTTCTTTTGAGACAGGATTTCTCTTTGTAGCTTTGGAGCCTATCCTGGCACTCGCTCTGGAGACCAGGCTGGCCTCGAACTCACAGAGATCCGCCTGCCTCTGCCTCCTGAGTGCTGGGATTAAAAGTATGAGTCACAACGTCCAGTTGTAGTTTTTCTTTATGACTGCTTATATGGTAGATTACATTTCTTCATTTTTGTGTCTTGACCCATCCCTGCATGTCTTGAATGAAGGCTACTTGATAATCATGGGTGGGTGATCTTTATAATGTGTTCTTGGATTTGGTTTTTGAGTATTTTATTGACAATTTTTGCATCTATGTTCATGAGGGGAAAATGTTTTGATTCTGTTGTGTGGGTTTCAGGGTAACTGTGGCATGGAAACCAGGGTGTGCTGAACTCTTAAGATCACATACTCTCAGAGGTGAGACTGTTCACAATGGACTGCGCTCAACGAAAGGAGCTCTATAATGAGCTGATGGCCATAGAGCAGACTCAGTCTGGAAGCTGTGTAAGCATTGCTTGAGCAGGCCTGAGACAAAATCCATACGCAGAGACAGGTGCATCCAAGGGATTGACTTGACAAATGCTGCATTTATCATTCTTATTATGACTTTCTTTGCGTTCCATCTTTCTTTGTTTTGCTTTTCTTTGCCAATTTGGAGTAGAGATAGCTGCTTAATCAAAAGGAAAGTACTAGGAGATAATAAGTATTGCTGTGAAAAACACCCTAGGGGAGCGTGCAGTGATAACTTGATGAATTGGTAGGATGAGAACTGTGAATGCTTTGATCCCTATTGCCATCCTGGCTGCGTTCTGGAGTTCTATTTTGGCCAGTTGTTGAGCTACAACATAGCTAGCTATTTTGCTGGATGTT